CCATGCCACAGACCCGCTCCACACTGCTCTGATGCCATTATTGTGTTATGATGTCAGAAAGTAAGCACTGATGAGCACAGACAGCCTGACCGTCTAGAATGAGGTGAATCCTTGTGTTCAGTTGGCCGCAATGCTGAGTTGCATTTGGGATGGACGCTAGAGTATGGCCTCTTCCCTACTTGGTGACCCTGACTCCTTCGGGGGAGGGGCAATATGCTGCCTGCAGTGCTAAGGTATAGCCCCAGCTCCTCTACCCTTGATGGGGTGATGCTTGTGTCTGCTCTCTGGTTCCCACGGAGATTCTGCCCCTCACACCCTGGAACAAACCAGATTCCCCTATTTAACTAGACAGACATGTCGGGGTAGATGAGAACTGTGTCTTAGTTACTTTTCTGTTGCTGTGATAAGATACATGACCAAGGCAACTTACAGAAGAGTTTATTTGGATCTTAGAGTTTAAGAGGGTTGGAGCACATGATCATCATAGCAGGGAGCATGAAGGCAGGGAGGTGTGCATGGCACTGGAGCAGTAGCTGAAAGCTTATATCCCCCACCTTCCCCAGGCAGGATCTCACTGTGTAGACCAGGCTGGCCTGGAACTCACTCTGTAGACCAGGCTGGCCTGGAACTCACAGAGATCTGCCTGCCTCTGTCTTCCACGTGCTGGGATTAAAGATGTGCTCCACTACACTCAGCAAAAAAAGCTTATACTTTGAGACAAACCACGAGACAAAGAAACCTAATTGGGAATGACACAGGTATTTTTAAACCTCAAAGTCCACTCCCAATAACACACCTCTTCCAACAAGGCCATACCTCCTAATCCTTCCTAAACAGTTCCATCAGCGAGGTGTTGGGGGTGGGGGGGACCAAGGATTCAAACATGTGAGCATATAGGAGGCATTCTCATTCAAACCACCACAAAAAAAGCAATTCCAGTAAATCAGATACTTACTTGTCTCCCAGAGCAATAGGTGACTTTTATCAACAACAATAACAAAATCTTTAAAAAGTGGGACAGCTGTGGCAAGTCTCCTGTGCTCTTTGCCAAGCCTCTTTGGATGTCCAGTCTGTGATGGGTTTCGTTCTGAACTCCACCCACTAGGGTCACCACGGTGTCACATCTCCACCTGTGGCCTAGGCCAGGGAAGCCTTGGAGCTATTCATAACAACTGCATTTCAGGGGCCCCCAGGTGATGGTACTCCTTCTGCAAAGGCCCTGTCCCCAAACCGTCATGTCCTGGGAACTAGGGACTTGGCATGTGAACTCTGGGGGACACAAGTCAGCTCAAGCCAGATGCTGCAGCAAGCTGTCCTGGTGATTAGAACCCACTATGATGTGTCAGGAGCTGACCAACAGCCATGTGGGCTGCTCTGCCCTCCTGCTCACACCCCTGCCCACATTCCTGATCACACTCCTGTTCACACTCCTGCCACACTCCTGTTCACACTCCTGCCACACTCCTGCCACACTCCTGTTCACACTCCTGTCCACACTCCTGCCACACTCCTGTTCACACTCCTGCCACACTCCTGTCCACACTCCTGCCACACTCCTGATCACACTCCTGTTCACACTCCTGCCACACTCCTGATCACACTCCTGTTCACACTCCTGCCACACTCCTGTTCACACTCCTGCCCACACTCCTGATCACACTCCTGTTCACACTCCTGC